TTCTAATTTTCCCCCTTTTCTCCACTGGTTTCGCCCTTTTTTTCCCTGCATGCTTTCCGTCAGGGGTTTATGTTTTACGCACATTGTGCCACTTTTTTTTGGGAGGGCGGCACAGGACCACCCCCGCTTTATTTCACGCGGAGGGAAAGGAAAAAAATTTGGGAAACTTCAAAAACAAAAAAAAAACCCCCCCCCAGGGAAAAAAAAAAAAAAGGAAAGGGGAAGTTGTTTTCCGGGGGAGGTATGGGGGAGGAGGACTTACAGCAGGGGTTCAGGCCCTTCGAAAAAAATTCCTTGGGGTTTATCCAGGGGGTGTTCGGGCCCAGGGACCCTTTGGAGTTCCCCTTGGGTTGGGGGAAAAACCCCCCGGAAAAAAGGGTGCGGGGGGGGGGGGGGGGCATGCCGTAGTCGGCAGACCATACACCTGGCATCCCTATACAACGCCGGGACGGAGCGATGGGCCGGGTTTTCGCCGGCCCAGGCTACGTCTCGCAAGGATGAAGCAGAAGCTGGTCGTGATGGTAACATGGTCCTTGCGTTTGCTGCGCGAAGCCAGATATGCCATGGGTTGATTGGGCCGGAGGGGGGGTATCTTTCGTTGCTAACCGGCTGAACAATGAACAAGGCGTCAGTTAAGTGTGTGTGTGCGGTGCGATTCTCCGATACGTCCACAAGCGTGGGGTGTTGTTTCTTGCGTCTCGCCGGCCGAGTACCTCCTGGTTTCGTCCTTTCGTCCCTTTTTCTCATCGCCTTCTGTCTTCGCGCTGGATGTAGTCCCACACCACCAGCTGCTCGATGTTGCTGCTGCTGTGTTTTGTACCCCCCTGTTGCTGCTGTGGTCGGGGTGTGTGTGTGCTTTGCTTCGCCGGACGGGGTCCCCTCCTTGCTACTGGGGCCTTTCGCTACGCCGTGCGTGATGCGCGCGCACGGTGTGTTTTGTGCCGTGCCGCGGACCAAAAAAGAAAGAAAGTGCAATGGTTGGTGTGTTGACCCATCGTTTTTGTGCCCTTGCGTCATCGCCCGCCCTGCCGTGATGTGATGTGATGGGCTCTCGGTGGTGTACGGGCTTTTTGCGCGCGCAGCGTGTCCGAGAGTTTGCGGAGGAGGGGGTGTTTACTCCGGCGGTTGCCGACGACATCGCCTCCTTGTGGGCAGACCCGGGTGTCAGGGAAGCCTACGGTCGCCAAAGCGAGTGAGTTGTCACGTTTTTGTGGTGGACGCCGACGAAGACGATGTTTGCTTTTGTGCTGCGCGGTAGTGTACGTTGGCAGGGTTTGTTTGGTCATGGTGTGTTGTTGCTACTACAATTGTCGACGGTCAATCACACTGCTCGTGCTTTCTAGGATGGCAGGACCCTGTCACCGACAATAGTATCTACCGCGTGCTCCCCCGACTCTGCCCCCGGGAGGAAATCGTTCTTGCTTGTACAAGGGGAGGATCTAGATATATTATACCTTGCTTTTAAGCGGTACTCCTCGAGAACCTCACACTTTGCCCGCAGCCAGGGGTATATTTTCTGCTCTTGTTGGGGTACCGGCAGCCACCAACGTGTGCGATACTGCGTTTAGGGGCATGCCTACCACGTTGAAGTCTTGACTCGGCTTCACGAGAAAGAGCCTCGAGTTGTTGGCTGCCAGGTGCCTGTGTGTATGATCAACCTGCCTATCCTTTGAATAATTCTTCTTGACGATTTGAAGGGGCGGAAAGAAAAGCCGGGATCTGTGTCCGCATGAAGATCGCTCTCGTTGGTTCGACGATATTGCACACGGATGTGGTGATGGGACCTACCCAACTATTATAACCCTACCGTATCGCGAGAGAGATTGTGGTCTGGATACTGTTTTTTGTGCTTTTCGCCATCCGGTGCCGCTTTGCTGTGTCCACGGTACCTTTCTTACGGCGTTACCTCTCTAGCTGAAGACCGCAGGCCTTGGGGCTACGTTGCGTTGTTGAGGTGTTGATTTTTTTCTTCTTCTTTGTCTTTTGTGTCTCTCTTGTCGTCGTTGGTGGACCGCCTTCTCGAGATGAATTAGTTCACGAGGAAATAGAACAGGGAGGGGGAACGCAGAACGTATTCCGTAACCCTAACCCTGACCCAACTTCCCTCGATTGTATGCTTTATCCAACATGTTTACTCTATACAAAAAAAAACTGCGAAGGCTACTGCTGTCGTTGGTACTCCTGTATCTTGTGATCGCTTCGGCGCTCCTGCTGCTGTTGTGTAGTACTCTTGTGTCGGCCTGGCCCTGTCCTGCTGCTGTGGTGTGGTGGTGGCGTGAGATTGCTGTGCTGTGCTGTGCTGATCTGTGCTTACAACGCTGCTGCTGCTGCTGCTGCTGCTGCTGCTGCTGTTGCTGCTACCGCTACTGCTTGTGGTGGTCTTGTTGTTGTACCGCCGCCGCGGCCACCGCGTGCTGCTGCTGCTGTTGCCCCGGCTGCCGTGCGTGGGGGCGCACAGGTACTGGCTGCTTGACGGGGCGAGCTACTACTTCGACAACGCCCTGAGGTTGGGCCAGGCGGACTTCGTCCCCACAGACGAAGACGTGATCATGACGCGCATCAGGACCACGGGAATCGACACCACGGATTTCACGGAGCCCCCGTACATGTACTCGGTGGTGGACGTGGGGGGCCAGAGGAACGAGAGGAGAAAGTGGATCCACTGCTTCGACAACGTTCGGGTAGGAATTATGATATATCGTGCGGCGAGGGGGGCTAGACTTCTCGTGGATACAGTTTTTTTTTTTCGTCTTGCTTCTTTCTCGAGGCTGGTTGTGCTTTCGTGGAAGAACGGTTTTGTGCCGGAGTTTACGATTCTGGGTTGTTTTGCTCCTTTTCCCTCTCGTCCGTTTTATCTCTTCCTCCCTCCCTCCCTCCCTCCCTCCCTCCCGCTCGCTCTCCCTCGTTCCTCCCCCGCCTGGTTGTGGGTTCGCCTTTGATAAATAGCATCGATAGCGCGAACCGAATGACCAATCAAAACACGCCAGACTCAGTGCGGCTAAAACTGCGTGTGTGTGGGCGCGCCCCTCTTCCTCTTGTCCTGCCTTTCTCTAACCGCGCCTTCCCTCCTACTGCTTCTCCAACGATACGAATTGATAAAAAAAAAACAGTGTGTGGTGTTCCTGGTAGGCTTGAACGGGTACGACCAGCGTCTGTTTGAGGACAGCAGCATCAACAAGATGCGGGAAAGCCTCAACCTCTTCCGGCAGGTGAATAACGCAAAACGGGGGGGGGGGGTTACAGTCGTGGCTCCGAAATAAGGGTACCTTATAAGAGGGGGCTCCAATGTAAGGGGGTCGAAATCGGTTGTCACGGACTCGACCCGCTATAGTTTAGTTGGGTACCCTCTTGATCGGTATAAGAGGGGGGCTTCGATATAGGAGGGTCGAGGGCCTTTGTCACACCACGACTGCTGTACTCAACGGTGAAGACCAGGGAGACGGGTGTGAAACTCCCTCATTTTGATGCGCTGCCGTGGCGTCCTTTCGACCACATCGGGAGGGGGTGGTGAGCCAGGACTTGTGCCCCCAACACCTACACATTGGTTTTTAGAATAGCGGTACAAGTGCTCTTTTTGTAGAGGTATAGAGGTCTCAACCCAGTTGTTTTGCCCTTGCCGACTGTCCGGTCCGTTGTGTTGATGGCATGCCCTGTCCTGTCTGCTTCTGTAGTTTCCAAGCTTAAGCCGGCCATTTTTAACAGAAGCACACGCGCCTACCCCCACGACGCACGTGCATGTGAGCATTCGCGCACCTGGAGCAGCATCTTTTTTCCCTCTCTCCTCAGCAAAGAATCGGCCTGTGCGTGCGTGCCGGGGTTGCGATTGTTTCCGCAACCCTGGGGTGCTCCTCAGAACTTGACCTGGAAACCCGTTTGCGTGCTTTGTACAATGAGCTTCAACAGTTTTAGACTAGAAGAGGCTCACTGCATGGTCGTGTGCCTCCGGTTCCGTTACTCGTGTATCGCCAAACGATGAACCTAAGAGCCAACACGATATGAAGGCAGAACAATCATCGGCCTTCTCTTTTTTCTCCCTGGTTCATCCTCACGTTTCGAGAACGCTGCTCTTTTTCTTTTTTCTTTGTTTTACCGGACACGGATCGCCGCTCACTGTCAGTGAAAGCGACAGTGGCCACGGGGTCCACTATGATCCGGACCATCGCGTACGCACGCACTCCAGCCTGCTCATCACCCCCCCCCCTCCGCTGGGTGTCTTCCTCTTGCTTTTTTTTTTCTCGCAGGTGGTGAGCAACCCTATTTTCCGCTCCACGCCGATCTTCCTGTTCCTGAACAAGAAGGACCTGTTCGAGACGATGGTGAAGAACACGCCTCTTTCCGTTTGTTTTCCCGAGTTCCCCGGACCGGAGAACGACGTGCACGCCGCCCTTGAGTACGTGCAGGCCGAGTATAGCAAGGTGCGCCTCGGATTGGTGCTGTATTTGTTGTCTTGTGGTTGTGGTTGTGGTTGGTGGAGGGGGAGGGGCTGCTGCTGCTGCTGCTGCTGCTGCTGCTGCTGCTGCTGCTGCTGCTGCTGCTGTGAGCCCCCTGAATCATGAAGACAAACACGCTCCAACCATTACAGAAGAAGTGCTTCTATTAACTGGTGTAAGCGTCGGTCATGTTGACAAACACAAGAACCCGCGCCAGGGTACGCAAGAGAGCTCAAGCAAGGCACAGCGGACTCCCGTCCCTCGCAATCTATCCATCAATCAGATCACGCAAACGTACCAACCCCCAGAGGCCCCTTTTTTTTTTATTGCCATCGTTGTTTCTCAACCACCAAGATTCTGGAGGAGGCGGTGCCCGGGAAGGAGCTGCACGCGCACGTCGTGGCGGCGAGGGTCCGCATGGACATGAAGGTCGCATGGGGCGACGTCAAGGAGCAGGTACACCTGCTATGCTGTGTCCATAGCCTAGGCTTCGTGTTTTGGTTTGGGGAAGCGTGGTGTGGGGTGTGGGTATGGTGCTGTGCTGTATACATATGGCCTCTGTGTTTTGGCTTGGGAAAGGGTGGTGTGAGGTGTATACGTATGCTATAACGTGGTGTAAGCAGGACGGGAAGACCGCAGGTGGTGTGCTGAAGTGAGGGTGGCCTTGTGCTTTGAAATCCGATGTCGTGAGGGCTGCCCAGGTAGAAAAGTTTGGTGTTCGTTTATTTCTTGTTCCGTTGGCTTGTCTAGTGCTTGATTCGGCCGATGATTTCGGATGGGTGCAGTTGCATTGCAAATAGCATTCGGGACCAGGACAGGTGTTGTATGCGTGGATGAGGACATCGAGTCTAGCTTAAGGCGTTTCTGGTGGTTGATGAACGATGTGCAGTAAGGATCGTTTGTGTAGATACAAGGCGCAGAATGAACGCATGTTTTGTACGCATGTTTTTTACACACGTACGGGAAGGGAGCGGTTTCGTCTTTAGTTCCGATCGTTTTTCTGGCCAATGGGCTCACTATATTATTCGGAACCTTCTTGTTGCATTGGGCTATTCATGAGCATGTTTTCTTGTGTTTTGTGGTGCCAAGTAGCATGTTTGGACAGAAGGGAAGAGTTCAGCCACCCGGTGAGGTCACGTGCTTCATATTCAAAGCTCCGTCGTCGAGTCATCTTTACCCGCTCTCCCCCCACGTCTAACTCCACGTACCCCCCCCCCCCCCCCCTTTTCGTGCTGTCTCCTACATATTACCGCACCTTATGGACAGCTAAAAAGGATGAACTCGCGAAAAAAAATGGGCAAGTCCGGCGCGATTTCGACGCCTAAGTTGTGAAAGACAGAGAGACGGCGACGGGTGGCACGCGCGGATAGAACTCTTTTACTCCTTGATTTGAGGTGTGATGTTTGGATGAAGATTTCGTTTGTTTTTTTCTTGTTTGTTTGTCTAGGAGGAGGGGGGGGGGGGGTGCGCGCGGATTTAGGGTTCGGGAGGGGGGCGGGATGTGCTTGCTACGTCATCTCGACGTACTGACGGCGACGCATGTAACCGCGAGGGGCAAGGGGGGAGGTACGAAGCGGATGAAGGGGGGGGGGGATGCGACGGGAGAAATCGAACTAAATATTGTTGATTTGCGTTCTGGTAGGTTCCTGCACAGCGAGGAGCGTTATCTACCCTACACGGCGGCGATTTGCAAAAGAAGCATCAGAGAAAACAGCATGCAAAACTTGCTCGATTCTTCCGGCTGTTCGCCAACACGAGGGGGGCGGGTAGGGTCTGCCGGTGGTGCATTTTTCTTTAAAGGCAGTCCTTCGCTTTTGGCGCGAGACGCGAAGAGGGGGAAAAGGGCAGCGGCTGCAAGGGTCGTGGCAGCGATAGCGGCTTTTTTTCTTCGCTCGTGTGCTTAGTGGATGACACACACACACGCATCTCCCGCTCGTTCGGCTGTATTGTTGGGTGCTACTGTGCCTTGCTCGGGGTGGTTGAGGAGCCCAGCAAGAAGCAAAGCCCTTGAACGGCGAGGGGAATGGACGGGGTGTGGGGGCATATTGTAGAGTTTTTTTTTTTTTCACCTTCCTGCCCTAGATCAGATTGAATTTGAAGAAATGAATGAAAAGAGAAGATCTCACTTCCCCTTCGAACGTGTTCACTCTTAAGCACATGTATTTGTAGGAAGGGTGCTTTCGGGTGCAGGGTCTGCGTGTTGGCTTTTCGTGATTTATTAGATGTCTGTCCACTACAAACGCCTTTCTCCCTTTGTTCTCAGTGTTCATTGTTCTTTCCCTGGTCTTGGTGTTCCGTGACTAATGTGCTCGGTTTTCGAACCGCGCAAAGAACCTAGCGAAGACTAACACGCCAGCAGTGGGTGATTCTACGGACCCCCTCGTTTTTCAAAGCAAATTCTGCCGCTTTGATAACTAGCAGTTGCTGCTTTTGTGGTGGTGTTTGTCTTTTCTTTCGTTATTCTTCGGAGCGCGGGTTTGGTGGTAACCCTTTCGACGATGCCTTTGATGACTGCTCTCGTTGAGCGCTGCTGCTGCTGCTGCTGCTGCTGTTGTTGTTTCTATGTTGTTGTTCTTGTTCTTGTAATTGTGGTTGTTGTTGTCGGCGTCATCGCAGCACTCTGTTTAAAATTCGCTTCGAAAGTTTCGTGTGTGCGTGTTTCGTGTGCACACTCCGACCGCGTTCAGCTCGACCGTGTGATTTTCTCCCCCCCCCCCCCCCTCCCCCCCCCCATCGATGGGATCAAAGGACAGCAGCGGTGACGAGCGTTGCTGTTGTACTGGGCGTGCTATCTCTCAAGTAGGCGTGTTTGTGTAGGGCTTAGAGGCGGGCGTGGACAGGCAATCAGGCGGCGCTCTCGCCGCAGGATTTCCGTAAGCGCACCGTCCTTTATGCTCCCACCGCAAAGACGCAAGAGGAGAGGCGCGATGACGGCATGGCAGTTTTGGCTCACGAAGCGCATCGCCATGTCGTCAAAAACCGTTGTCATTTTTAATTCTGTGAATTCCGTCTGTCTCATCATCGTACATGGTGTGCGTGTTGTGTGAAGGGCCCTCGCTTGCTGGCGTTGGTTCCGGAACACCCAGTGCATGGTGTGTCTGGAAAACGGGCTTGTTGGTTTCGTTTGGCCCGCTCCTGCGCAGAGGGGGGGCTACTGTGCACTCGCTTTGATCGGTTGTCGATGCGACGGATCCGGTGTTTTAAAACGGTTATTTTTACTCAGTTTTGCGGATGTTGTATTAGAAGAGAGTCAATTCGTCCGTCCGTTTCAAGTTGGTAAGGGGGGCAGGCAAGATCATTTTTTTTTTTTGGTTCGATATGAAGATAGGAGAGAGGAAGAATGAGAAAGGAAGGGAGAGGAGAACGGATGGCGGTGTGTGTGAGAGAGAGAGAGAGAGAAGATACCAAAATTGTTGTACGTTTGTTTTGGGATCGATTGATTGGCCGGCCTGGGCGAGAGGGGGGCAGGCCGCGCGAACAACCGGAGTAAATAGCTTTCTCAGTCGCGAGGTGGAATTCCAGGTGTGATTGCCGCATTCATCCCCGAGACCGTCAAATAGGGGTCAGAGCGACGAGGGGGGGCCGTGTGATGTACACGTGTGTATGCCCCACGGTGTGCGAACAGTGTGCTTCTTCGGTGCTGGTGTGTGTGCTAAGCTACGAAGAACGACGTACATACATGCACGTGGTGTAGGCTTCTTTTTTGCGACCACAGCGAGCCCGTTGATCGCGGGGACGGTAACAAGAGGATGCTGAAAATGTGTCATCATCTTCGCTAGACTACAGATATACTCCAATCTGATGTGTAGTTACACGTGCTTTCTGTGGAACTTGCGGCGTGGGCTGTACTATTCTGACTGAAAAAAATATGAAACATAATACGAAAGGGAAGAAGGGCATACGGGGATAGGGGGCGCTCCGAGAATCGCCGCGGCCGGCCGTCGATTTGTCAAAACGCGCCTGGGTCAATTCAAAGCACGGATAGCCGTGAGGCGTCCACACGTTTCCCCTCTTTTTTTTTCACTCGGACCGATGGCGTCGAGCAGGGCCACATGTCGAGTTGCGCTCCTGCAGTTGTTGGTCGTTTTTGTCGTGAGGGTGATTTGGTTCTGTGTGTTCGTGCGCGGGGGGGGGGGGGAGTACCCGCGGAAAACAGAACTTCAACGTGTTTGTTAGGGGGCGCGGCGGTTGGTCTGGGCTTACTCGTTTGTAAAACAACAATATGCATACAAACAGCACCAATAGGTTTTCGCCAGCGACTTCGTTTCTCTCGCGTGTCGTCTCCCCCTTGACCCGGAGGTCATGGCGGCGAGCGGGCTCCGAAGGGAGACCGAAGGAAGAGCTCATCATCAGTCAGCTTCCCAACCTCCCAGACACGAACGAACATCCTCGACTCTTGCCAACCCTTGCGGGATCGCATTCCTACTACTCCAGGTGCGACCGACGAGCTTGTGACCGAAGTAATGTAGGGAGGCACACGTATACCTCTGGGGACATTCACTAAATCGGAGCGGCCTTACAACCAACAAACCAACTCAAAAATTCATAATTAATTTCCTTCCCCGAGCAAAAACTTACCACTTTTCTACGGTGGTGGCATCCATCCCCCCCCTAACCCCTAGAGGATCATCGTCATCGGCTGGTCCTACTGCTGCTGCTGCTGCTGCAGAACGGGGAAGGGTTCTCATGTCTCTGTCGTTGTTGTCGCCGCTGCTGTCGTCATTGTTTGTGGTGGCGATGGTGCTGGTGTTTCTGGATGTTGACTCTCTCGACGTCTTGATCTTGGCCTTGGCAGCTTTTGCTGACTTCCTAGCCTTGGTGGCATTGGCCCTGATTACGCTTTCTCGACCGATGGCATCGGCGTACGGGTTGTGCGCCACAATCTTGTCCCGCACCTCTTTCGCCTGTCAACGAGTTGTTGTTGTAGTAGTTGTTGCCCTTCCGTTGCTGGTGCGTGTGTTGGGAAATAAAGTGTGGGAAGTTTCTCCCAAGGCTAACTACTACCGTAGGACGCAGGAATGTCCCCGAAGCTTCTCAGTCCAGAAGTGTGTTGTGGCCTTCGAAGCTTCTGGAGCAAAACGAAGGAAACAACTTCTTCGCGATGTGTCGCTATAAACTATTACGGTGCGATGTGCTACTATACTGTGTGTACATTTTCCACAGCAATAACCACTTTAACCAATAAACTTTTCTGAGGACCCACGCGTCGGCGTTGTTCATCAGATACGTTTTGAACGAGGTTGCAGTGTCATCTTGGCACCTTTTGTCTTGCGGCCTTGAAGTTCTCTTGCCGCTGTCGCATCTCATCCCGCTGCTCCTCCATGAGTCGTCTCCTAGCCGCGTCAAACTCGGCTTGCTTCCTCTTGTACAGGCGTTGCTTGCGGGCCTGTGGTGTGTGGCGGACGGTTAGGCGGTGGGCGGAGATTGCAGGAAGCGCTGGTTGTTGTTGATGATGATGTTATGTCGTCGACGTCGTCGCCGTCTTGCCTTGCTGTGGATGATGATGTTGTTGTTTTCGTTGCGTTGTTGGTGTTGTCGTTATTGTTGTATTTTCGTTTCGTTTTTCTACCGCGTGTTCCGACTTTGACGCATCTATCTCCCCCTCTACCGAACACTGCACTACTGTAACCTACGCAAAAAAAAAACGCAACAAAACGGGTATGGAATTCCGTCTTAAGGCAGCGTGCGCTCACCGTCAGACTTTCCCTGGACCGCCGAAACAATGGCTTTTGCAGCGTATGTTGCTGCGCGTGACGCGCTCATGCACGTACGCGCGTACATAATACCCGAAATTCGGGGGAAACATATGCCTCAAGGGGTTGCGCTGCCTGTCTGTGCTTACCTCTCTTTTTCTGGTGTTTTCCTCAACCTGCCTTCGGTCTTCCCGCGTGACCTTCTGGTACCTCTCGGCTGCTTCTCTGTTGGATTACCACAGACCATGGACCAGCAGGCGATGATACCAACATCACGATCAATCGTTCGTTGGGATTCTTTCGTTCTTGCTTATGGCCTCACTGTTCAGAATGACGAAGACGACGCTGACACCCACCACCGGCGTCGCGGGTTGAGTCTTACTGCGACACGCTTTCAATGTTTGCTTCAACTTTGGTAATGTTTTTTTTTTTTGTGTGATGCATACGAGACGACTGAATGGTAAAACGACAACACTCGTAGCCAGTTAATACCACAACCACTCACAACCACAACCACCACACAACAGCAATGACAACCATCGACCACCACACGATTAGCGGCCCAGCAAGACACCTCGCGACGCGCTGCCTTCTCTCGGCCTCTCTCTCCGCCCCGCCGAGCATCTGTTGGAAGTTTTTCTCCTCGACGGCTGCGGCGGCTCTCCCAAGGTACAGGGCCGCCTTCGTACGCCGTTCCTCCTGTAACAACGAAAGAAGAACGGTTTCACGTGATGAGTGTTCGTTGACTACGCGGAGGGATTTCGTGTTCGGGAACAAGCCTATCAATGTTCTGCGAAGAACGATGTGTTCCCTGGGAACCGGGGAGGAATGAAGTAGGTCATAGTGATAGTGGCTACTCCCAAGATAGATGAAGGCCTAGGGGGGGGGGGGAGGGAGGGAGGGAGAGAGAGAGAGAGAGAGAGAGAGAGAGAGAGAGAGAGAGCATCAGGAAAGAACGCGACCAAAGAAGGAACGAAAACCTACGATAATACAATTCGACGCGTGGTACCACTGTAGGGTGATGTGCATGACAAGAAACGCGATGGAAACAGGACATGCGTGCGCATAGAACCCTCGTGGCGCACCTCTTCCGCCAGCACCGCCATCTCCGCTTCACGAGCCAGCCGCTTCCTCTCTAACTCCTCCATCAGCTGGAAAGTGTTCATTACGTTTGTCGTGAAACAAGGTTAGGCGCGGTGGGGTGGAG